TATATATACATATATTTATTCATATTATAGTAAAAAATAATATTCCTGCATGTATTTTCATGTAACAATGTTGCTATTAATCAAATACAATTGTAACATATAGAATATAGAAGGTTCGAGACAGTAATATAGGATTATAACAACTTATTTTTGAGGTTATAATATATTATTATAAAAATATTTTATAAAAAAAAATGATCCATAACGACTTATTAATGCATAGAAAAATAATAATCTATTTACCAGATTGCATAATTTTAAGGGATGTCATCCTGAAATTCCAAGAATTTCACTTAATACATGAATAATCACCTTTAAAAATACAATCAATAGAAATAATTGCAATCACAAACGAACTAATAATAGCTACTATTCAAAGTAAACCAATTTTAACTTATTTCACTAATATAGAACATGTATTCAATAAGTACTCTTGTGTGCACAATTTGACGGTCACGTTTCTGCGCACCACTCCAATTATTTGAAAGTCACTAGAATAAAAACTTTCTCATATTGCGTGAACTCTCAAGAAAATAAAAAAGTTCTCTCTATAATGTTGACTTTTACTTATTCTAAAATCTACAATTTTCTATTACGTACCTATTGTAACTAATATATATATAAAAAATTATAATTTCAGGTTTGAATTACCCGCGACATATGCATTTTACTAGATACGTAATAACAAATTTTATTTATTATTTTAAAAAATGTTGCATTATTATTTACATACAATAGAATAATAGTATAGATGGAATATTTTTGTTGTGATTTGCAAATCACACATTTATGTATTACATTTTCTGTTGCGTATGCCGTTCGCGGTTAGGGACATTTTAGAGAAATTTAACATGGGTAAGGTGCCCGTGGAGCACTAAGGTACTCTGCTCGCGGCGCGTAAAATAAATCTAATACTTTTGATTTGTAACCGTTTACAACTTCTATTTTATTTCTAAGTTTACAAGTGGGTTAGACGTTCGAGACTCAAAATCGTTCTAATTTTTGCGTTGTAAATCTCGTTCGTTGTCGGCTTGCATCCCTTCTTCCTTGGTCCTGTTTTCTCCTTCCGAGCCTCCTTGGCTCAATGGTAGAGTTCACTCTCGTCCGGGGCAGGCCCGTCGGGATGGGGATATCCGGTTAATGCACGAGAACGCTTCCATGCGCATGTGCTGAGAAAAAGCGCGGAACCCAGAGAAACAAAAAGCGAACGCGTCGACAAATAACAATGTATCGAATTCGCCAAAGTGAAGACCAAAGGTGATTCTAACTAAAAATAATAATTCAGATGCGGTCTGTAACAAAAAAATCTTTAGAAGTTACGGATGAAATGGTTTCTCTTCTCTGGTTTTCAACTTCCTCTCAGCTCGGCTGCCCGCGTTGAGTATTTTACGATAATATACTCCGTCTATAAAGTTCTCGCTAAATTGTTCGTATTTGCCTCCTAAATTATGAACGTTGATAACGGGACGCCATCTTCACACGATAGCGTTATAAAACAATGAAGCTGATATGCAATTTTTACTGTAAACCAGAGCTTTATAGTGATTTTTCCCTTACGGAGAGTTGCTCTTTCCATACCGACTTTTACCTGGTTATATTGAACACTATATAGAATTGCTTACATACACAGTTTCAGGCAGTTACTAAAGTAAAGGTATATAGTGGAGACCATTGTTTTCAAGTTACTAGCGTGAGGGGAGTAAGTTAGACACCTCTGTCCTAATTAGGCAGCCTTGAATTACTGTATATAAAATATTACTAAAAGATAAGAAGGTTACGTAACGAGATGGAACATTGCACATTCGTGAATTCAGCTTAACAGCTTTTATACAGTAATAATAAATTATTTTTGAATGCAGCCATGTATTTGTATTATATTGTATTTACACAATTAAAAAGGAAAGCGATATATGAATTGAAGTAATTAAATACTTGATAATTACAAAATCAGTTTCTCAATTTAATTTTGTCGTACAACATATAACTCTTATAACTCTTATATAACTCATTCTTATAAAACATATATTAAAAAATTTACAAAATTTATAAAATAATTATTCGTTTTATTAAAAATTAAAAGATTATGTGCAACTAGTGATATAATAAATATTGTTATATAGTATTACTATATTTATAAAAATTACAAACATGTCAGAAGTGGCAAAAAATTTAAAAATAATACAAGATAAAATTTTAGCTGCTTCAGTCAAGAGACCATTGGTATGACTATACTTTATATTGATAATTTATTTTGAATAAATGACTTAAAATACAGTTTAATATGTTTCCTTAAGTAGGAATATATAATTATATACTATGAATAATAAAAAACGTTTTTTTTTTATAGGAGTATAAATATTTTGAACCACGTTTGGTTGCAGTAAGTAAATTTCAACCTCCCGAATTAATTATAGATGCCTATAATGCTGGACAAAGACATTTTGGTGAAAATTATGTGAACGAATTGGAAGAAAAAGGAAACAATCCAGATATTTTGTCAAACTGTCGTAATATACATTGGCACTTTATTGGTCATTTACAGCGAAACAAAGTGAACAAACTATTAAACATTCCAAATTTGTATATGATAGAGACAATAGATAATGAGAAAATTGCATCTGCCTTGAATACTTCATGGTCCAAATTTAGGAAACAAAATGATTTAAAATTAAAAATAATGGTACAAGTTAATACAAGTAAAGAAGAAGGTACTATGCACCACATAATAATATGTAAACTTTACTAAATTTAACTTAAATTTTTATTTTAATGATTGTAATTAAATATAATGTTTACAGGAAAAAGTGGTTGCCAAATTTCAGATGTTTGTCCTCTTGTAAATTATATTATTAATAATTGTGAAAACTTAGAATTTATAGGACTAATGACAATAGGCATGTTTGGATATGATACAGCTAAAGGATCAAACCCCGATTTTTTACAATTAAGAGAATGTAAACATAATGTATCAAATGAATTAGGTATTGATTTGGAAAAAATTGAGTTATCTATGGGAATGTCAAATGATTATGAGCAAGCGGTAATCTTAACGTAATTTCTTATTACGTTATATGTATATAAAATATTAGAAAATGAAAGTAAATTTTTTTAGGTGGAATTGGGCAGTACAAATGTCAGAGTAGGCAGTGCAATTTTTGGACAACGGCCAACAAAAGATAAATAAATGAATTTAGTGCATTATCCTTTTTTTCTCCCAAGTTTAAAAACATTTCCAGCTTAAACCATTTAATAGTAGGTATAATTTTTATAAATTTAAAACAAAAAATGTAAATACCTGTATGTTTTGATATATAATTAGTAAATATACTAGCTTTAGTTAAACATATTTTTGAATCATTGTATAAAAGTACATAATACTCGTATATGTATATATTTATTGATAGGTGTAGAAAATAAATGTAAAATATAAACAAATTTTTTCTCTATAATTTTCCCATTAAGTTATTTTACAAAATTATGGCTGTTTATACAATAACGATATGATATATTACATACAAATGTAAATACACATTGTACTTCGCAAAATAATAAATACAACCATTACAGAAAATCTGAATTCACAATAGTAAAAATACAAAGAGTATGTATTCAAAAAGAATATTACATAGAGCTATTTAATTCTATCTTTATTGGCATGAAAGATAAATAAATTTTAACTTTAGGTTTGGAATCACTAGTTTAAATGAATTAATTCTTAAAATGTCACATACATTTTTCATAAATATGGGATATAATCACATAAAATATCGTAGTATAGATGGGAGTACTCTTTCTCATTGTGTTTCTCAGGAGACAGGAACAATGCACTTAACAAACATGCTTACTTATCTAGGTAAGTACGTATTTTGTGCAACATGTTTATCAGAATATCTTATCTATATTTTTCAAAATTTAAAGTTATCATCAATTACAATTTATTAACCATTTAATTTAATATTATTTTTTATCATTATCTCAACTACTTTAAAATGTATTATTTTGAAAACATTTTCTAAGAATACTAAAATGTGACAACTAACTAAAATTTTCATAAACTATGCTTTTATTCAAAATGGCGACGTACTTGGTAGTTATCTGATCGTGAAATAGGTTATACAGCATAAATTAAAATATTTAAAGACTTATATAAATTATCAAACTTGTTATAGCTTTGAAAATAATAGTATGTTTACGTTGAAATAATTGATTTAATCGTGACACGTTTTTATGTTCTGTTGATCAACGCAAACGTGGAGAATGGCTGAAAATGTTATTCAGTACGATGAAGAGGTTTTCCGTTCCATTAAAACACTTCTTTGGGGCAGTAATGTCAAAGAAGATGTTTTTAAACGATGGGCTCAAGGTAAATTTGTTCTTAAATACTTTTTAATCATTTCGTAATTTAACCTATCTTTTTAATTATAGTGTCTTTATTTTGATATAAGTGAAACATAATTGACCAATTATAATTATGTATATTTTATTTGCCAAATTTAGAAAAAAATAGTAAATATATATACACTATTAAACGCAATGAAAATCATTTATCAATTTTTAAAAAATTATATTGCATGACAAAAGTTTTTCCAAATCAGACTGATATTTCTAGAAGCAGTTCATAAAATCTCTTTCTTAGTTTGTATTAATTCATTCATTCATTGTACATTAATTGTTTATACAATTGCTTTATTCTTTACTGGTAAAAACATTTTGTTATTGATAAAACAGGTTATATACAGCAATAATTAAGTTACAGTGCTAAAGTTTGGTTTTATTATTTGTAAAATTAGAAACACAACAATAAAGAATTATTATGTGTAGATTTTTGTGCTATAATATGTTTTTAAATATCAAAGTTATATA